CCTCACTATAAATTTATCAAATTCTGCTATTGTCTAAATGTAATCCACAAAAATGCTTAGTTTTAATCTAATGACAGATTGAAAATTTGGGAGAAGGGGCCTTTGGAAGATATTAGATAGTGCAGACAGAGTCCTTGGGAGTAGATTTAGTGGTCTTTGAAATAACTCATAACCTAGTAGTTCCCTGCTCCTGAACCAGGCTGTATCTTAGAGAAAGACAGTGATGCCAACCAGAAGCCCAGTCTGCTGGTTATCTGGTCTTGTTTTCACAGATAATTGAAAAATATATTTTGCATATAATCAGAATTGGCAGACTTTTCAACAACTGTATGTGTTTTCAAAAATCATTGCACATCTGCTTGGCAAAGAATGGAAGTGCACCATTCTTGTTCACTACACAGCAACATGAACTCAAAGTGAATCAGTGGCTAAAATAAATAGCTTCAGCTATAGATCTCCTGGCAGGTGCAGAAAGAGATTTTGTGGAAATAATTGTGGTAGAAAGTTTTTCCCTTAACATAGCAGTTGCTATAAGTGCCTTCCATTTTGCAATGACAAAATACTGACTAGAACGACTTGAGGAGGAAAAATTTTACTTGATATTTCCAGGTTACAATCCAGCATTAAATGCAATCAGGTAAGGAACTCAATTCTGAAGGTATCACCATCCCTGACCCCAAGCTATACTACAGAGCAATAGCGATAAAAACTGCATGGTTTTGGCATAAAAACAGACAAGTTAATCAATGAAATCAAATCAAAGACCCAGAAACACTCGGCAGAGTGCAGGGAATCATACGAAAGAAAGGGAGTTTGATGTGGAAAGGACCAAACATATCTGGGCACAGGGTCTTGTCTGAGATGGACACTCAACCAAAGACCATAAGAGGATAAAACCTAGAACCTATGCTCGGATGTGACCTGTGATAGCTCAGTAATCAATTGGTTTCCCATAGTAAGGGGAACAAGGACTATTTCTAACAGGAACTCAATGACTGGCTCTTTGACCTCCCCACCTCTCAAGGGAGGAGCAGTACTGTTAGACCACAGAGGAGGACTTTGTAGCCAGTCCTGAAGATACCTGACAAAATGTAGTCATATGAAAGGGGAGGAGGTCCTCCCCTATCAGTGGACTTGGAAAGGGGCAGGGAGGAGATGAGGGAGGGAGGGTGGGACTGGGGAGGGAATGAGGGATACAGCTGGGATACAGAATTAACAAAATGTAACTAATGAGAAAAATAAAACTTAAAAAAAAGAAAAAGCAACCATTTTATATCAGTGCCAACAACATGCAGAATTATTTTGAAATTGGCAACAATGATGGTTTTTATTTCTGATAAATAGAATACTTGACATTAAAAATTAAAAAAAAAAAAAAAAAAACAAGACCCAGAAACAAACCCACACACCTGTGGATACCTGAATTCAAAAAACAAAACAAACCATACAATGAGTGTAAAAAGCATCTTCAAATAATGGTGTTGATCTAACAGAACTGCTTCATGTAGAAGAATATAAATAGGTCTCTGCCTGTACTCTCTAATGTCTTCTAAAGGCCCCTTCTCCCAAATCATCAATCTGTTATTAGATTAAAACAAAGCACTTTTGTGGATTACATTTAGACAATAACAGAATTTGATAAATTTATAGTAAGGGAAAATACACACAAGAAGATTATGTTTCTGGTTTGTCTGAGTGCATGTCAGATAAGACCCATGCTCCCCTTGTTGCTATGGGACCCACATTAGGACCAGCTGACCATCATTTACATATGTGTCATCGGTCTAGGTCCAGCCCATATATGCTCTTTGGTTATTGCTTCAGTCTCGTAAGCCCCATGGGCTTAGGTTGGTTGACACTTTTGGTCTTCTTCGGGGGTTCTTGTTCCCTCTGGGACAGTGAATCCTTCCACACACTCTTCCACAAGACTCCCCTAGGTTGGCCTAATGTTTGGCTGTGGATCTCAGCGTCTGTGTCCTTACATTGCTGGGTGGAGCCTCTCAGAGGACAGTCATGCTAATCTCCTGTCTGCAAGCTCAGCAGAATATCGTTAATAGTACCAGATTTGCTTTCTCATACCGGGTGGGGCTTAGTTTGGGTCAGTCATTGGTTGACCATTCACGCTTTCTGTGTACCATCATTATCCCTGCACATCCTGTAGGCAGGGTAAATTTGGGGTAGAAGTTTTTGTGGGTTGGTTGGGGTACCTATCTCTCCACTGGAAGTCGCACCTGGCTAGGAGGTTTTCCCTTCAGTCTCCATGTCCCCTGCAGCTAGGAGTTTCAGCTCAAATCACCCCCAGATCCTCTCAGGAACCTACTCTCATAGGTCTTTGATTGTCTCAAAATGTCCTCTCCTCTTTAGTTCCCCTTCTCTTCTTGCCTTCTTGCCATCGACCCCTGCTTTTCCACATCTGATCCCCACCCTTGTTCACCCCATATACAGCTTCTCCCACCCAATTTCCTCTCTTCATCGACTTTCAGCATTCATTCTATTTCCCCTTCTGAGTGCTATTCAAATATCCTCCCTTGGGCCTTCCTTGTTTCTTGGCTTCTTTGGATCTGTGGATTATAGTATGGTTATCATCTATTATATGCCTATTATCCACTTATAAGTGAGAACCTACCATGTCTGTCTTTCTGGGTCTATGTTACCTCACTCAGGATGATATTTTTTTAGTTCCATTTATTTGCCTGCAAATGGCATAATTTCTTTGTTTTTAATAGTTGAGTAGTATTCCATTGTGTAAATGTACCATAAATTCTCTTTCCATTCTTCCATTGAGGGACATCTCGGTTGTTTTCAGATTCTGGTTTTTATAAATTAAACTGCCATAAACATAGTTGAGCAAATGTCTTTGATGCATGGTAGAGCATCTTTCGGGTATATGCAAGGAAATCATGAAATTTGCAGGCAAATGGTGGGAAATAAAAAGGATCATCCTGAGTGAGGTAATCCAGAAGCAGAAAGACACACATGGCATATTGCTCACTCATAAGTGGATAATAGCTATATAATGGGAGGATAAACATATTATAATCTATACTCCTAAAGAAGCTAAACACCAAGGTAGAAACTAGGGAATATGTTAAATCCTCATTCAGAAGGACAAACAAGATAGACACTGGAAGCAGGAGAAGACAGGGAACAAGACAAGAGCCTACCACAGAGAGCCTCTGAAAGACTCTATTGATCAAAGTATCAAAGCAGAGGCTGAGACTCATACCCAAACTTTAGGCAGATGACATGGAATTTTATGAAAGAAGGGCAAGATAGAAAGACCTGTAGGGGACAGGAGCTCCAAAAGAAGATCAACAGAGCCAAACTAGCTGAGTTCTGGGTACCCTGTAGGGACTTATACTCCCAACCAAGGACAATGCATGGAAGGAACCTTAAATCCCTGCTCAGATGTAGCCTATAGACTTAATATCCAAGTGGGGTCCACAGTAGGAGGAACAGGGGCTTTCTCTGACATGAACTCAGTGACAGGCATTCTGATCACCACCCCCCCCATGGGAAAGCAGCTTTGCCATGCCACAGAAGAAGACAATGCAACTAGTCCTGATGAGACCTGATAGGCTATGGTCAAATAGAAAGGGGTGGAAGACCTCAGTAGACTAGGGGAGAAGCTTAGGGGGAGAAGAAGGATGGAGGATGGGATTGGAAGGAGACAAGGGAAGTGGCCACCGCTGAGATACAAATTAGAGAAATTGTAATAAAAGAAAATAAAATAGAAAAAATACAGTTATGGGAATAAAGGAGTAAGTTCTTTGTGAAACCAGTATATAATACATGATGAATAAAAACACTGCTACAGTTTTAAGAGCAATATAAAAGTACTAAAATAAAAGACTGGGTTAATTACAAAGAAATTATATGATGGAAAGGTTCTTATTATTTAGAAAATAAATCCAGATATGAGAGCAACATGTTAAAATCTTTATTATATAAGGGTAAAAACTCAAGAATCTTAATTATTTTATGTAAGAAACTTCATGGTAAGCAGCAAAGGGTAAAACAAAGTTATTAATAAAACAGTAAGCATTGTGGTTAATATTGGGAGGAAAGAATACAAAGAAAAGGGAGTGAAAGTATCAAAGATGTTAATTGATAGCTGATATGTGGCAATGTCTAAATAAAGATGGAGTTCTGATTTTTCTTTATTTAAAAACTTTTTTTTATTGGTTCTTCATGACTTTCATACCATTCATCTCTCCCTTCCTTTGTACTACCCCTCTACCCTTGGAACTTCTCCTCTAACAGAGAAAAAAAAAATTCCTTATGGAAGCCATAGAGTGCCACTTTGTGTCTCACAGTATACCCTTTTGTCCGTAATTGTTTCCTTGCAAATGTTCATTACAAATGTTTTTTTGTCTGGCATGAGGCCTGCTTTCTGCTACTCTGTCTATTATGGAACCTCTCCAGTATTCCTCTCACATATTCTGTTGTTGCCCTGTCATGGCAATCATGTAGTTTGGGATATGTAAGACCAGCCCCAGCAGTTCATAGATGGGGTAGATGTTGCATGAAGGAGAGATACCCTCCCTCACCCTCACCTCTTGCCATCTGTGGCAGGTGGGAGAACTAGACCTGGGGTCATGAAAGCAGGAGAGCTGGTCCTTCCTCTCACCTGCTGCAGCACTTGGAAGAATGTGCCCTGCACCTCTGGGCAGCACGGAATAAGTGACCATGCATGTGAGGGTTGTGCAACAGCAGGAGAGCCAGAGGACTGACCAGCTCAGATAACGCTCAGGCTAAGATGCAGGGCTTTGAATTGTCCCGTCCCAACAGCTACCCCATCGTTAAACTGCACTGAGGGTCAGGGGTTACCTCAGGAACGATCTCAGAAGTAGTATGCCCAGCTCATGAATGATATCACTGGGCAGAAGTCATAGCTGTCATGGGCTGCTTGCCACAGGCCTGCAAAGCACCAGACTAGAGGTCATTTCAGGGCCTTGGCACTGGACTGATAGTTGTCTGAGACTTGCTCTTGTTCAGAAAGTTTTAGAATAGTAATCATCCAGATGTTCACAAGTCAGAACACTGAGCATAGACACAGCTTCTCTCCTTTCTGCCACCTATTGATGTACCTGTGACACAGAAGCCACACCTTCCTTTAGGAGCAGAATTCTGAGTTTTCTTAAAGGCTAGTGATAAAATCTCCCAGTTGAAACACTGATTCTTAGTATCAGTAGAAAAGACATATTCTTAGGATGCTAAGGCTAAAAGACTGTGACTGAATAGAACTCGTTGAAAGAATTCTCATCTTTCTTTAGCAATTTCACATAATTTAGATAAATTTGCACATTTTATCTTTCTGATCAAACACTGAAAGCATTTACATTGATTCATATGTTTTTCTTCTGTTAATATGTTTTAAGGATTCATATTTTAATCATGTTTATCTGTGTGTTCTTGTGCTTGGGTATGTGCTGTGGAGGCAGAGTTACAGTGGCCGTAAGCTGCCCAACAAGGGTGCTTTCTTTCTAATCCCTTTTCTGTTAATCTTTTGGTGGAATTATTTTAGCACACCATATTTTGTATTGAAAAGAATTTTTTTTCTCTCATACAATACATTTTCTCTGTCTCTTCCTGCGAGTTCCCCGCTACCATGAATCCTCTCCCCCAGATCGAACCCCTTCCATTTCCCCTTAAGAGAAACAGCAGGCCCCCAAGATACAACAGCCAGACAGGAGGAAAGAAGACACAATAAAACAAGGCACAATCCCTCATATTTTAGAGTAGGAGAAAAAGTCTCAAGAATCAGAGATGCACTCATTCCCACTGTTACTGATTCTGCAAAAACACCAAGCTAAACACCCTGACATATGCTCAGAGGCTCTGGAGCAGACACGTGCATTTGTTTTTCATCACATTATATTGATTTTTGTCCAATGTAATGAATTTATTTTATTATGACATTCTTATAGAAGTGTGTCATGAAGGTATGCCATCTTCTGCCCCAATTCTTTTCTTTTCATTGCCCATATTTTTACCTCACACTAGCACCTTTCCTCAGCCTCCCCTATCGCTTTTATGAGCACATGAGAGTGACTGCTTGCATGTGCACGCAAAATCACACACACACACACGATTCGATTCAAGGGTTACAAGTAAGCATGTAATGCCTGTCATTTTTAGTCTGAGTTATTTTACTCAATATAGCAACACTTCCATCTACATTTCTATAGACGGTATAATTTCTTTGTGGCTGAATAAAACTCTGCTGTGTAAATACACAGTTTAATTTATCCAGCCATCCAGCCATTTAATAACTAGGCTGTATAACACATAGAATTTAAAATGTTTATTTAATTTTATTTATGTGTATAGGCGCATTGCCTCATTGTATGCCTGCATACCACATATGTGCATTTCTTGCAGAAGGCTGTAGAGAAGTAATCTTCCCTGGAACTGGAGTTACAGACAGTCCTGCGGTGCCAAGCAGGTGCTTTGACTGGAAAATGGGTCGTCTAGAAGAGTCATCTATACTTTTAACCACTGAGGCATCTCTATAGCCCAGCCACTTAAGACACTTAATAAATCTGATGTAAATTTAAATATCTGGTGCAGTTTAGGTAACTAAGAGAGTATATTTTCAGTTTAGCTCTCCCACATTGTCAGGTCCTTTTGGAGTCCATTTTGTTGTTGTTTAATCTGAATTCAAAATACACAAGTGAATATTTTCTGACTAATAGTTTAAATATAATGGACATTTCTATTTTGTACTCCTCTGATTGTTCTGTAGTCTTTTAGCAGTTTACAAATAGTTTAGTTGTTTTAAAGTTTAGCACTGATATTTGAATGTTTGAGATAGGTAGCTTTGTTACAAACGTGAATCCCATAGTTGGCTTTCTGGTCACAAGTGTAACCCCACAGAAATCCATAAACAATATAGAAATCCTTAGAGTTTACAGTTTTTTAACCTGGAAAGCGTTCCTGACTCTGAGTAGATATTGAAGATTTGACAGCCCTCTGACCACTATTCCTTCAGTACCACTAGTACTTACTGCCTCCATAACAGAGACAATGAAATTTCAATTTATAAATTATCCAGTTTGTTTGTTTCTTTGGTCGATGTTTTGGTTTGGTGTTTTTATTATAACATGAAAACTTAAGATAATTTGGCTTTTATTTCATGTGAAAACATGGCATTAAATTATCACGCATGTAGTGTACTTTGAGTGAACAAGGGAAAATAATTCATAAGTAGGTGGATTTCTGCCACAGACAACTTTGAAGGATAATAACTATTCTGTTATGTGGAAAGAAATCATGCACATTTTCCAATTGTGAAATTTCATCTGAAGGTAACTGATTATTATTTCATTTCAATGTTTTTATTTTTTATTTTTTATGTTAATTACATTTTATTCACTTTGCATACCAGCCTTCATTCCTTCATTTCTTCCCAATCCCACCCTCACCTCTTCATCTCCTCCATTGCCCTTCTCCAAGTCCACTGATAGGGGAGGTCCCCTTCCATCTGACCCTAGTTTATCAGGTCTCATCAGGACTGGCTGCATTGTCTTCCTCTGTGGCCTGGTAAGGCTGCTACCCCATCAGGGGGAGGTGATCAAAGAGCCAGCCACTGAGTTCATGTCTCCATTACTATGGAACTCACTTGGAGACTGAGCTGCCATGGGCTACATCTGAGCAGGTGTTGTAGGTTATATCCATGAATGATCCTTGGTTGGAATGTCAGCCTCAGAAAAGACCCCTGGGCCCAGATATTTTGGTTCTGTTGTTCTCCTTGTATAGCTCCTGTCCCCTCCAGGTCTTCCTATCTCCCCCTTCTTTCATGGTGTTCCCTGCACTCTGCCCAAAGTTTAGCTATGAGCCTCAGCATATTTTTAATGCTTTCCAAATCTTTTTAAATGCTTTTTAATTTGATGAAAAATAGACAACAAACAAACAAACAAAGGACAGTTATAGCAAGGATCAGGAAAAGGTTAGAACACAAGTTCCTGGGATTCTTCTAAGGAAGATGTTGGCTGGTGCCATTCACACAGCATCACTTGGTTTGGCAAGCACAGCCTTGCGCACCACAGGCTCTTTGAGGAAAGAGTGTTGGTAGCTAGAGACAGAAGATTATGGATTCACTTCAAGAATGAAAAAAAGTATTTTTCTCAGTGTTCTTTATATGTTTTGGGGTAGTTCATAGAGCTAGTGCTGCAAGCAGAGTTCTAAAAAACAATAACTTTCATATTTGAGTTCGAAAGTATTTTTTTTTTTTTACCCTGAAGGATATTCCTCCTGGATCTTATATCTTGCTTGCAATTTCCATAGTCATGAGCCACATTTTGCTCAAGGTCTGACCTTGAGTTAGGAACTACCAACCCTGGGCCCTAAGTGGCTGCAGAGGAACCCATTTTAAACCAAGACACAGTTCAGAAGTAACAGGGTGGAAAAGAATCCCAGTGCAATCCCAGTGTAAAGAAAACAGTGGACATGTCCCTTTCTGCAGAGACAGCAGGTAAGAGCTTAGGACTCTAGGGCAGATGAGGCATTCAGTAAATAAACAACAAATGTGGACACACTAAATGCTTTATTTCAAATATTAGAAATTCATAATATTCAAAATGTACAGCAAATGAGGCTAAATTATTGAAAGAATTTAATTGTGAAAACATTTGGTTATTGATTTTAGATTAGGAATGTGACCAAGAAGGATGAAATATAAAAAATTAAACATTTTATTAAAAAGTTGAAATAAATCTGAACACATTTTAAAGAAATGAGAAATCAAATATAAAATCTTGTAACAATTTTACTTTTAGTTACATTTATTGTTTCATTATCTTGAGGATAAATTAGAACATACATAAATCTTGTGTAGAATATATACCTAATAGAGAGCAATGTTTTCGAAGTTTGTCACAAGGTTTGAAATAAGACTGTAATTTTATCTTCACCACACTGAGTTTCTAACACAAGAGATTTTGTTTTATTTCCCCAAATATTCTCTTAGAAAATGTGCTCCAAAGGTCAGCTTATTGAGAAAAAAAATATTAAGTATCGTGTAAAAGTGCTCTAGCTATGCTATATTTATTCTCTACATTTTTTTCTCTACACTTAAAACCACATATCCTTGCATCTTTAGAAAGACCCATTTCAAAAGCTGCTTTGTTATTTAGGAGAACAATATGATAATCCATTAACACCCATTAACACACTTTTCCAGATTCAAGGTTTGTTACTGTTGTTCAGGTGAATGAACTTTACTTTAGAGACAAGAAACTTGTGGACATAGAAGCCAGAGCAGATGTCTATTCATTCATTGTTACAAAGGACAGTATTGTCAGCCAATCACCAAACAGGACAGTGCTCAAAACACATATTGTATTAATCAGAACAATTACAACTTGTGAACCAAAGAAGAGATAAATAGAAAAAGAGAGAGAAAAATGAAAAAGAATAACAAACAATTCCTTTAACATTTTTCATAGAATTGACCCTGTCTTATTTATCATGACTTGGTGTCCCATTACATGATCATTAGTGTATAGACCTATAAGAAAGGTAATAAATTAATATGTGTTTTAAATTATCTTAGGTTGATAGAAGTGGTCTATCTCATCACTTCTTACTATTAATAAAACTCTACTCTTTACGGTCTCTATCTGTTTCAAATAAAAGCTTCCTCAGTGAAGGATGAGAACTACACCTATCTTTGGGCAAAAAGAAAAATACTGACATGGTTAGGCAATCTTTTGTATTAAATAAAATAATGATTGTAGTTATTGTCCAAGATCCATGACTTTACTAGCCCTGGGTAGTTATCTAAGTCAGTGACAGACATGATTTTCCTTTTACTGAGCAGATCTTAAGTCCAAGAACAGAACTGTTAGTTAGGTTCAGAAATCATTGTGAAAAGCAGGCAGAAAGATTGCAGGAGTCAGAAGCATAAGAAGTTTGCTGTTACATTGTGTGTTCTAGAAATTTAAGATATTTATATAGACATTAAGTAGGAATTTTCTTTGAATGTATAAAAGGTTATAGTTGATCTTGGGGTATTTCACTTTAACTGATTTTAGCATTTGCAATTATAATTAATTGATAAGATGTTTTATGTTATATGATAATTAGAAAAACCAAATGTCTTGAAATTATTGGGTTTTAATCAA